GGCCCTAGTTGCAGTGTGTTTTGTAGAACCGTGCCCGCTTAGTTTCCACCCTCTTAACGCTGGCGAAGATTTAAAAGTTGCGAGGTAGTTCCATCCGTAAAGGATAACCACTTCTGTGCTTATCGAACTGTTGAGCACCATTGGAATAGGCGCTATAGGCAGAACGGTGACTGGTCACGGCTCTTCAGCAGGCGGTGCAATATCTTACGTTTCAGACATGCTTGATTAAGTTCTTCAGTGAAATCGCCTTGTCGAACTGTTTGACCGGACATGGAAAACCGATGCGACATAGATTAAAGCATCCCGATTAGTATCGCATACGCATATGTCTGGAAACATTTTATTTATTGTTTCGACACCATGTGGTTAGTTAGGCCGACGACCACGGCTGCTTAGGCTGCAGCCACAAAACGAACAATACCTACTAGGGGAGAGCGGGGTCAAATGTAACACGGGGCAATTGTAACAGTGTTAATAACTCATAAACTTACCAATAGAATGAGCTGATGTTAAGACCGAAAATGTGTAATTCTATACTGCCTTTCCCAACGGAGTTTGAAGCGAGAGTGCCGGGTATGTCGATGGCTGTGCACAGTAATGTGTTTTTGAGAGCATTTTGTAAATTCTTATACCTACCGTTATATTTGATAAGCTCATTCCCGCCATTGAAATGATATCGACTTCAGACTTTGTGTTAGCGTTGGCAGGCTTGTTGTCCATAAATTGAAAGCATTAAATGCTGTATATGCAACATCTTTTTTGCGCCAGTTTCGTCTAAAATATGTCAAGGCGCGATGGGGACAATTGTAACATTTTTGCAGGGGTCAAATGTAACAGGTTATAGGTCAGTGACCATTATGTCAAAGTCGTCAAATTTTCAAGGGAGATGAAACTTTGCTAGAATTAAGAGAACTGTAAGTTTTGTCGCAATCGGCAGCTTTTTACGCGATTTATTTGCGAAAAACCGAGGGAGAGGAGGTCTATCCAACCTCATGTATAAGTGCGACGTTTTAAGCCTTTTTTCCTCAGAAGAACCGTACCTACCAAGTCTGGGAAGATGAACAAGTGTTCAATGCTTTTGTTAAATCAAAGTTTTGGAAAAAATTGTGTTGCTGTAGCCTGTAAGTTAACATGTTACAATTGTCCCCGGGTGGTGTTACTTTTTACCCCGTATCTGGGGTGAATTGTAACAGCTGAATTGACTTTTTCGGACCACAACTTTGACCCGAAAAAGAAGTTATTTCGCAAATGTTTTAACTTCATTTTAAAGACAAAACATCATAGTTTCTGAAAATAAAGGAAAGAGCTTTATAACTGCAAACGTGTTTGCACCAGATGATAAAATGCAAAAAATGTTACAATCGACCCCGTTCTCCCCTACCTTGTGCTCATTATATACATACGTACCTACGGGAAAACGAGCGAAATCCAAGGTGTGTTTGATGGGCTAGGGCTTTCGCTATGGATAGCTGACCTGTATAAATGCTGTATGATGTTCACTTGACAAAAGACAAACCATAGAAATACGCTTCTATGTATGTACATACCTTTGGTTTCTCGATATACAAATTACAAATCGTTATTAATTAATTATGTTTAGTTGTCCACTGTCCATGTATGTATATGGTTATGCGCCCAATGAAGACCCAGCGGGGAGGTGCGGTGGGGGCGTGTGATCCTGGGTCCGGTCTAGGAGTAAGCGGCCGCTGCGCCGGTGACCCCTCCAACAGGCGGAGCCGGGGTTCGAGCTGCGCGACCGGCTGGGGCTGGTGACAGACCGAGTTTCGATGCAGATGGCCGGCGTGTACAACTGCGTTTTGAACGGCCAACTGGCTTCTGTGATCGTCTACGTGTCTGTTACCGGTACGCCCCCCCCCCCCCAATTCTGCTCGAAACCCTCCTCCCTAAACCGGTCACGTGACAGACTGCATGGGTCACGTGACGGCCGAGTGACGCTTGTTGCTGTGTGATTGCCGCGTTTGCGCTTTGTTTGCCAATGCGACATGCGGTGGCCCCTAGCTATACGGCGGCTCCTGGGTCTGAAGGTGTGACCCGTGTGACCCGAGCCGACCGTGACCCGCTGTGTCGGCAGATGACCTTTGACCCTGTGGAGGGGTTCCTCGTACCGGCTCCGTCCCTGTTTGACGCCGGCCAGGCGGTGTGCACCGCCCGGCAAGGTGGCGTGGTGCAGAGACTGCAGGTGTTCGTGGTCTTTAACCGTGAGTATGGCCGGTGGTATGGTGGGTATGCGGAGTATGTTGGGTCGGATGGTCGGTCAGATGGTCGGTCCGTAGTCGGCCGGCAGGCCATGGTGCTCAGGGGCTGTAAAAAATATTACGTACTGCTACTAATGCTTTATCTGTGGGAGGATATTGATGTGGCGGGTAGGCAATCATTTTCCTTCTTGCTCCTTTCCACTACTGCATTAACGCCCAGTGTTCACTTTGTCGATCGTTTTTATTACCCTGTATGATTTATTCGCTAAATAAAGATTAATGTTTCCTTGCAACAGTAAAACCATCGAATATTGTTTTAAATACGCATGCATTGTATCTAATTGGCTGGATCTATTGGCGGGGTATGACAGGATGACGATATTATTTGCACTGCACAATGGCACTGACCGCCTACCTACCCTAAAAATGGTTAACGCCTGAAAACCGAGCCTCACTATCATTGTGCTTGAGTCTATGTCTTATACGTGTTCGTTGCGCGAATATCGGTATCACTTCCTGATTGACATTAAGCGCTTTGTGCTCTGTCTTGTTCACTGTGGGTTTCGCCGTTCGCACACTCTGATGGGGCAAGTTGTTTCTTCTGAACGTCTTAAGGTCAGGTACATCAGTTTGCTTTGCTTGCTAAGATGTTATGCGAAGTTTTCTCGTTTCTGTGATATGCCGCATTTTCTCCGCAGCTGTCTATGCATGCAATGCTACTGCCATAGATAACATGAATCATGTTATCTATGCTACTGCTTAAAGCCCGCTCACTTCTCCACTGCATGCGTGAACGGAGTGCTTTGCTCTTTTTATGAGACATGTCAAAGCAGCGAACTAACGTTATTGAGCAGCGATATTGCTCAAGAGACGATACGAGAGGTACCTATTGCACAATTTATTTTATTGTATCTAACATTTTTGAAGACTTTTAATAAAAAGAAATGTTGCGCCCCTTAATCAACATTTAGTGGTCAGAGCGTTTTAACCTTACATTCACTTAAATTTGTGTGCATTGTCTCGCCTCAGGTCCCCCGTCGTCCCACTCGTCATTTGTCAGACGACCTGACATAACCTAACATACTGACCTGACCTGACCTGACCTGACCGACAGCGGCCACTGAGTCGGTGCACCAGCCCAGCATTGACGTGTCCGACGCGAGACGGAACGCCGTCGTCGGCTACAACTTCAGTCTGAAGTGCTATGTGCACCAGGAGGCCGGGCAGAAGCTCAGCTTTTTCTGGGACGTGCCGCCAGCCAGCACCGGGCTCAAGGTAGGCTGACCCGCACAGCACGACACCGAACCAAGTGGAAATCTAGGCACACATGTGTGCAAACTGTATTGCATCGTGAGTGAAGTAAAACACCATTAATAGGTACATGTAAGTCCGTCCGTTCATCTAACTGCTGTCAGATGTTGTTAAGAATCTGGAGCTCCTCACAGTCACAGTGCTTGAATAGTCGCTATCATCCTGTGCCTAAATAGCACCGTGTCTAAGTTATGTTAGTCCCGTGTCGTGCAACTTCCCACCTTTGTCTTACCGCTTTCCGACCATGTCTGGTGTCTAACAGACGAGACGACCCCAGTCATCAGAACCCCTGTCTCTACTGCCAAGTCTTACCCCTAACTTACTCCCGTCTTACTACTGTCTTACCCCTTTCTGAGCCCGTCTGACTCGTGTTCCGTAATGCTGTATAGACGGGCCGTATCACCATGAGACCGCCTCGGAAGACGACCACCACCGGCTTCACCAGTGAGCTGGCGGTGACGGACGCCCGACCGGAGGACACTGGGGGCTACACGTGCCGCGTGGAGGACCACAACGGACACACCAACAATCGCTCTGTCCGGGTCACCGTTCACAGTGAGTTGGAGGGAGGGGGAGTCTCTCACTGAGCTGGGGGAGGGGTCGATAGGTACGTACAGGGACGAGGGACGGCTCCCGGGGTGGGAGGGAAGGGACATAGCTCGTCTTATCTTACCCGACTAACATAACTGAACCTGATCCAATCTGGCCCGACCTCCCTCGATCTGACCCGACCTGACCTTACTCGAGCTAATCATATCTGACCCAGTCTGACCTGACCTCACCCCTCAGGTCCGAACGTGTCCAGCGTCAACCTTCAGACGGACGTGCAGGCTTTCTCGTTGCGTCTGGGCGACTCTGTCAAAATAGTGGTGAACGTCGAGGCGCGCCCGGCCCCGGTGATAACGTGGTTCGACCCGGACGACGCCGTCATCATCACCGATCGTGAGTTGTTCCTCCGGAGAGGATCCCTCGATCGGTCGGCTCTCTAAGGTCGGAGCCGAGGATAAGGATGGAATGAACCACGGTGGCCTATTAGAGGCAGGATGGGCTGCTCCGACCTTACAGTGATCGGTAGGGGAGGAAGGGGATTGCATGGCGGCACAGATGCCGGAAGAAGGATCATAAAAGAGAATACGATCAAAGGGTTGACAGTTAGGATAACAGTAGATACCGTCTAACTTTCTGCTGGTCTGGCTTTACTGTAACCTGGCCTGCCTATCTTCTGGTTCGCCACAGACTTTGTGGTTTAGTTGTTTACAACCTGTCGGTTGGTGTTTGGAATATGGCACCTAAGCTCTCTCTGTGACGTGAGCTCACTCGTTCTCACAGCTCAGAAGTACGAAGTGTCTCACACTACCGAGCAGACTATCCTGAAGATCCTGGATCTGCGTCTGGAAGACATGGGCCAGTACCGCGTGGAGGCGATGGCGAGCAGCAACACCAGCTCGGACTTTGACGAGCTCATCTTCAACGTCACCGTGAACGGTGAGTGCAGACCCGGCCGGCGCTCAGCGCCGCCGTTGTTATCCAAAGGAGACGCAGGGTGTGCAACTGCGCTGTCTGTTGCATGGTCATGGCTAACGGCCATTCTTAGGAGTTAGGACTGTCACCAACAATGCGAAGCGTTCGTATATGTTTGCTCAGGAAACACAACTGAATGAGCTGCGATCTAGCCGAAACTGCGGTTGGTAGTCGCGATTTACATGGTGTACACTGTACATCACTCAGAAGGGCGCCAGTTGCAGACTGCAGTGTGTGTTAGTGGGATGCAGCCTGTCTGCGACTGCTAGGGCCTAGGGTGGCAAATACATACTGACAGCTACGGATGGCAGTCTTGCCTAGGGTGGCACTTGCCACCCTAGTATGCTCTGTACACAAAACATCAAACTGTAAACGGAAAGTGATCTTACCATGGCATGGCGCAGCTAATAAACCTGATCATAACCTCACGAGTGTCTATCTGTGACCACGGTGAACTTTTGCGCTCCACAGCTGAGGCGGAGGTGCGTCTGGACGCCAGTGAGGGGTACTACCTGGCCGGCGAGAGGTACCAGCTGCGGTGTACCGCCACCGGGTACCCCACGCCCAGCCTCGAGTGGCGCTTCGAGGCCTGCAACTCGAGCCTCTCCTGTCCGCCCGACTTCCCTCTGCCAGCGGTGAGAGCCCTGGTAGTCACTGACTCACTTGTTCATATGGCTTACTGGCGGCTTTTAATGGCATACTCGTACTCGTACAATGGTGAATGTGTCGTCACTGCTGTTATGGCCTACATAATGCATATGGTTTGCAATCTATTTTTGATCAATAAATTGTCTATGGAAGACCTGTCACCTGTGAACGATCCTTGTACAAGTGGTCTTCTCGTACGGACCATTTGCTGTAGAGCGTCTGTTCGCTGGTATCGTTGACTCCGTCCTTCCGCTTTAGCCGAATCTTACCTCACCATTAGCTACCCCCCCCCCCTTAATCAGGTGACGCTGGCCAACGACGAGCAGGAGACCCAGCTGGAGTCGAAGCCGTTCCTGGTGCAGAGCGACCTCACCCTCACCGCCAACCTCTCCGGCGTCTACTGGTGCTATGCCAATAACAGCGAGTCAGACGTCCCGGCGGTGGCTGAGCATCGCTTCTTCGTCTCAGGTCAGCGAGTCATTCGAGTCATGACCTTCAGCGTCCCCTGACATTAACGTTGTAAAGTCCTGAAGATCGAAAGACATATTAGTTAGCAGATAAGTGGTATTCGTGCCTCTTCTGACTCAACGAAGTATCGTTTGATCCCGCTTTGGCAATGCAATACGGTGTGCCACGTAACGCATTTCACCTGCACTCACTTGGTTCGTTCTATCCACAGACATTCCCCGTGGTTTCGGCATCCTGAGGAGCAACTCGACCATCATCGAGGGCGACAACGTGACGCTCTCCTGCGGCGGGAGCACGCTCGACTTCCCGAGTCCCTCCAGCTTCGAGTGGCAGTGGTCCCGCTCCGAGACGGCGAGACCGGTGCCCGTCACGGACCTACCAGGTACATACCGAGCTGATATCATGCGAATGCTGGGTATGGATGTAAAGCGTTGAAATGGTTTCTCCACTTGGCGAATAGGCTGTTTAAATGTTAAGTGATCCTACCAGAAATCCTTTTAAGTTCAATATCTATTGTTATCCTTTATTTTGACCGGACACAACGTAGCGACTCCATATTCATATCAATGTTCAAAGATTACCCTATCTATCGATGAATATTTACAAGTACTGAAGAACCTTTCGAGTTATCAGGTCAACGTAACAGTCAGTATTTGCGATCCTCTTCTGTGCTTCATGGTTAAAATCCCGTATTGATTTAAAATGAGTTGTGGACTCAGCGATGGAGCCGATATCAGTGCATATATGCCTGTTTATCATGTTCTGAACTTGACAAGTGTAGATACTCGTATAAACTAATCACCGACTCCGTGGTAGTGCTAACACCAGTGTACATCATATTCGCGACCTCATGCCGTGTTGCGACCCCGGCAGGGGTGCGGGTGGTGGACCGGAGCACTGGGTACTCCCACCGGAGGGTGCTACTGCTGGAGCCCGTCCAGATGGCGCACGCCGGCCTCTTCATGTGCTCCGGGACGGACGTGCTCGGGGTCCAGCAGCGCTCTAATACAATGCTGGGTGTCACTGGTGAGTGGCGTGGACCTGCCGGATGGAACGGAACACCGTATAGGTACTCTTGAAACAGTCACAGTGCTGATTCTTGGACCGGGGAGTGTCGAATGTCGATCCACTATCGAACAGTTGTGCAAATAGCTCATGTGCAGTACAAAATACATGTGCAATGGCCATAAATATAACCAGTAATAGTCGGCATTTACATGCCATGCACGAAGATAAATCCATCCGTAGTCTCTGACCAGTGCAAGTCCCCATTAGAACCCATGTTTATTGTTCATCTCACCCTCATGGTTGACCCGTATCTGACCTACCCATTGACCCATTTCTGTCCTACCAATGACCCGTGCCTGACCATTAACCCATATCTGACTTCGTGACTCATGCCTCATCAGCAATGATCTGAACCATCCTGCACCTCGCTTCCATCACACAATGAATCACCGGCGACACTCGCTCTGACGTTGATCACTCCCGCGTCCTGACAGCCTCCCAGAAGCCGGTGTTTACGTCTGAGGCCAACATGGACAAGTCAGCGAGTCTTGAGCTGGAGGAGGGGGACCGGGCGGTGTTCAACTGTACCGTCTCGGGTAGACCGACGCCCACCATCACATGGACAAAGGTCAGTAAGAGAGGGATACAGGTCGCGGTTAGGCAGCGTACCGAGCTAAAGGGAGGATGGAGAATGCCTATATTCGTAGTGGCTAGAGTGGCCAGAAAATCAAACTGAGGAATCGAGAGTGTATGGTGATGAGTGTTGGTTGCCACGAGTTGCGCATTGATAATAAAGCTTCGATTTTTTTTTCAACTGTACAAGTATCGACAGCCTCGGTAGCTTGTTCGCAACTCGCAAGATGTCGAAACAAAGCTCCATCATTCCACAAAACAAGCCCACCGTCAGCAGCTGTCCAGTGGACCACTTCCAACCACTGACCACCCCTGCTGCCTGCCCACAGGACGGCGCGCCTCTGCAGCTGGAGGACAACACCCGACGAATTCGACTGCTGTCGGGTGGCCAGCGTCTGGTGATCGGCACAGTGCTCAGCAGCGACGCCGGCAACTACGAGTGCCGCGCCGCCAACCGGCAGGGCACCGTGTGGGGCTCTGCCGAGCTGTTGGTGCCCGACGAGGACACCGTCACCAGGGTGGTGGTGCCCGTGGTGGTGCTGCTCAGTCTGATGCTGGTCGCGCTGATCGCCTGTCTGGCCTGGAAGTGCCGCCAGCAGCAGGTGCGCAGACAGGGAGGGAATGAGGGAGGGGAGGGAGGGAGGGAGGGAGGGAGGGAGGGAGGGAGGGAGGGAGAGAGAGAGAGAGAGAGAGAGAGAGAGAGAGAGAGAGAGAGAGAGAGAGAGAGAGAGAGAGAGAGAGAGAGAGAGAGAGAGAGAGAGAGAGAGAGAGAGAGAGAGAGAGAGAGAGAGAGAGAGAGAGAGAGACCGTACAAACATTGCATCAGACATCGTTGCGTAAGCCTGTCGTGTTTACCGCTAAGCTATGATGGATCACTTATCAGTGATCATCATGCGCCTCGTTAGGCGTGTTCGTTGTCGCCTCCATCGGAACACCCATATTATCCAAGGCACTGCTGACCAAGCAGTCTGCCCGTGCCAACAGGGTCTGCAGAAGAGGCTGACCCGGCTGGAGCTGGAGGCGTTCCACAAAGGCCGTCCCGAGCAGATCAACCCGGACCTGCCTATTGACGAGCAGGCCGAGCTGCTGCCTTATGAAGAGGACGAGTGGGAGTTTCCCAAGGACCGGCTCATTCTCGGTCAGTGCGGTGCGGTGATTAGAGGTCACATGGCATCACGCAGAACTAATACGGGTCATACGGGTCAGTGGAGCACACGGGCTGGGTCAGAGGTCACATAGGGTCTGTCAGAGGTCACATAGTTGGGGTATCTAGGTGCAGTTCGGGGGTGCATGATGTCAGTTTTTGTCACATGATGTCATTAAAAGGTAATAAGGGTTCACAAAGGGATGAAATAGAACTTGGGGGTTACGTTAGCTGTTACTCGTTACTGAGTACCTAGGGATTGTTACTCGAGCCATCCACCAGTCTCCTACTGTACCAGACGTGTGCCGGCTGCGTAAATACTCCGCCCGTCACACCCCCTCCCCCTCCCCCATCCCCCCGCAGGTCGTCAGATCGGCTCAGGCGCGTTCGGCCGGGTGGTCAAGGCGGACGCCATCGGTCTGACCGCCGACCAGCAGCGCACCACGGTGGCCGTCAAAATGCCAAAGTCCGGCTCCGATCCCGACCAGATCCGCTCGCTCATGTCCGAACTGAAGATCATGATCCAGCTGGGGAAGCACCTGAACGTGGTGAACCTTCTGGGAGCCGTCACCAAACACGCGGCGCAGGGTAAGTGGTCCGGCGCCGCGGGGTGGGTGCTGAGACGAGTGGTGGACGTCAGGGTTGGCGGGGTAGTGTTCGATACAGAGTAGAATGCATCGAATATTTCAAACGTTAGCAGATATAACCCATGACGGCGATTGATGCGCTTTTTCAGGCGAGTTTATGGTGATGGTGGAGTACTGTCGCCATGGCAACCTGCATCAGTACCTGCACCGCCACAAAAACAGCTTCATCAACCAGGTGCACCCCATCACCGGTGAGTGCTAGACTCGAAACATCTAACTAAACCTTCCTCGAAACACGGATGCTGAGCTTCTGGGAGGGTGAAGCTGACAAACATAGGTGTTCAGCGTGATACCTCTTAATATCTGAGCTAGAAATGTAGCAATTATAAATGACATTTACCTCACAGTTTTCCCCGACTGCGGTGGGCCAAACAAAAACAATATCTCCAGCAGAGTATGATGCGTCGTCGTTATGTGACCGACCTGTCTCGTCGATGACGCTGGATCGGTTGGTCTCCACTGAGACTGTGCCGTTTCACAGGGGAGTTTGACGCTACCCTGGGAGAGGAGGAGTATGCCGCTGCCATGAGGCGCGACTCCACATCGGAGAGGTCAGTTTCAGGGGCTCACCGACCGGAGCTGGGTGGCTCCCGCTACTGAGAGTAGATTTGATATGATGGCTGATTCCACCTCGTTTGACGCCAGTGTCGCTCTTTTATTCGATAACTGAGAGTATGGTTTTATCTATTTGCGGCGTACTATGAGCGCACATATGGCCACAATGTTAAGTGTGCCTCTCGGAGCCTCATTTGTACACTGTCCTCTCACCGACTAAAATTTCCTCTTTCCTCCCACTGGCAATTTTCCCCATCTTACCCACAAACATGCGAAAATCCCCCAAGCCCATCCCCACCCACTAACATCTCTGATCTCCGCTACCTATTCCACCCTGTGAATACCTATCCGCCCCTAACATCTCCCCACTAACACCCCTCACCGCCCAGCCCAGTAACACCCCCTCCGAATAACACCACCACTCTCCGCTCCGCCCTCTAAAACTAGTTCCTCTCCTTATCCACTTACTAACACCCTCCCTCCCCAGCTAACACCCTCCCCACCCCGCAACGCCCCGTTAACACCCTCCCTCCTCAACTCACACTCCCTCCCCAACTAACACTCCTCCCCGCCCCCGCCCACTAACACTACCGCCAGCACTCCGCTGCAATACGCCAGTCTGGCACACAGCTCAGACGGCCAGGTGACCATAACACCCGGCCGCAGCCTCTACCGGCCGCCTCGGCGTGGCAGCACCAGCTCCAGCGTTCACAGCGCCGCCTGGGACTCGACGGACCCGACCGGCGCCGGAGCTGAGGACTCGGTGTGCCAGAGCCCCAGCGCGCTCGGTAAGTGGTAGAGATGGGCCACGGGGAGAGATGGGGACACAAAGAGGGAAAGGGACGAGATTTTTCGTGGCAAGTAAGCATGCTGGCTCACACCTATCCGTGCTTCTATCCTCAGGATACTGAAATCCTTCTCCTCCACGCCACAACCCCCTTCCGGGCTGGACAGGCAACTTTATCTCATGCGGGCTGCTCCCTTGGAGCGGCACCGCTGCTCCCGAGGGAGCGCACCCCGTAGCCGGGTGCAGTGAGTGCCTTGGGGCTGGGTGGCCTGTCCTCTGGACGGGTTCAGCCCCGGCGACTCACTAGGGTGCCTGCCCAGACCAATGTCTCCCCCTAAATCCTATCATCCTTCCGGCTCTGCAATGGTCTTGTCGACCGAAAGGGCCTAACCCAACAAAACAAACAAACAAAAAAATGCTGGCTGAATTGATCATGTGATCATGATTAGGAATACCGTCGCAACAATAAAGTTACGTGATGCCCCAGTGATGGGATTTCCTATCTCTCGGAATCTTGGAATTCACAAGGGTTTGATATTTTGTCCTAAATAAAACAGCAATCAGAGCAACTGAACTGTGATTTATTACGTAATACCATAAAGCCGACGTGATACCATAAATTGAAGAACTGAGTGGATTTCGACAGAGAGACGTAACGAAATAGCGGTGTCTGACCAGCTTCTCTCGCCGCCCCTCTCTCCACAGACGACGAGCCGCGGTTCGCCACGCTGAGCGGCGGTGGCCGGCGGCCCCGGCGGACCCCGCTCACCACGCGCGATCTCCTCCAGTGGAGCTACCAGGTGGCGCGCGGCATGGAGTACCTGGCCTCGCGCAAACTGCTGCACGGAGACCTGGCCGCCCGGAACATCCTGCTCGCTGAGAGCCGCATCGTCAAAATATCCGACTTTGGACTGTCGAGGGATATTTACAAGACGAAGGATTACAGGAAGAAGGGCAAGGTATGTGCCACTGTGACGAGAAGTGTAAAGTGTGTGATTGGATAATCCCTGAAAACCAGCATAACCCTAAAATTGAGCCCTGGTCTCAATGCTGGCAAGCCCCCTGACCTTACCACTGACTAGACCTCTAACCTGACTCACTAGCTTGACCCCTGACCTAACGCCTGACCTAACCCCTGACCTGACCCCTGACCTGACCACTAACCTGACCCCTGACTTGCCCTCTCCACCACAGGGTCTGCTGCCGGTCAAGTGGATGGCGATTGAGTCGATTCAGGAGTCGCTGTTCTCCACCCAGTCTGACGTCTGGTCCTTCGGCGTCGTCATGTGGGAGTTCTTCTCGCTGGGCGCCACGCCCTACCCCGGCATGGAGTACGACGTCAACTTTGTCAGGTCGGTGTGATAGGCTAGGAAGAGATTTATCAGCTTGTAGAGACCGTCAGAGGTGTAATGCGCAGACTAAATCGGGTATTTGTACCTACTTTGTTTGATAATTTTTCTCAGAAGGAAGCAAAGCTATCGTATGCATAGTGGCTGTTTCTTCGTCAGGACGACATAAGTGTTTATGGGCGGCTGCTGCCTTAATTTCTTAGATTATTTATTACCTGATGTCACAGTAGTCCGTGGGTTTCGTGACCTTACTCTGAATACGCTGACGTCATCATTAGCTAGGTGTGACCTCACCGTATACGACATATGTACGTGCTGACGTCACACCGTCTGTGCGTCAGGCGTCTGCGGGACGGCTACCGTATGGAGGCGCCCAAGTTCTCTCCGAGCTCCACTTACCAGCTGATGTTGGACTGCTGGAAGGAGACACCGGGAACCCGACCCAGCTTCACCGAGATCAGCGAGCGGCTCGGGCACTACCTCGAGGAGCAGGTGAAAAAGGTGAGCAGCAGCTCAAAAGGGGCTGGAGACAATTCATGAGGAACAGGTGAAAAGGGTGAGGAGTTGAGGACTGATGACTGAGAACAGTGCCTAGAGGAGCAGGTCAGCAGGGTGAGGACTGTCACAGCAGCTGGAGAACTATGCTAGAAATGTGAGGGAGAAGATGGCTGCTCAAAAGGTAAGATACTGAAGGAAATGACATCGGGATAGACGATAAAAACCATGAAGTAGCTCGTTGGTGTATGGAACTTCCTGAAGCGGAGCGTCGAAGATTGTACGATTCATGATTACTTACCGTCAAAGACGCCTTTCGCAGGATGGATTTTTTTTCTTCTTCTGACGAATGCAATTTTTGTTTCACTTTTTGGATCCATCGTACACCTCATAACTAGAATTAAACACCTTAGCTATACCAGCCGACTCATGACCGTGCTGTCCAGCCCTGCTGACCGTAAGCGTCGTGTCTCGGCAGGACTACATCCAGCTGAACGAGCCGTACCAGGTGATGAACTCAGAGTATTTCAACCGCCGGGTGGACTACGTGAACACGCTCATCAGTCCCGACTATCAGAATGTGACGCCGCGCGGCGAACCCCTCGGCGCAGCCTCCGAGCGGGGCTCCGTGGGATCGCAGGGCTCCCAGGAGGGGGTCACTGTGTGGCCAGACACGGGGGTCGCCGGATATATAGCCCTCAGCAAAGGTCAGTGATATTTGGGAGAGGGGGTAGTAGGTGGGTGGGAAGGAGTACGGTGAGGGTGGGGTGAGGGGAGGGCTATAGTTTAGTGTGTTAAGTGGGAAGGTTCGCTGTGTACCGCTGTTCCGCTGTGCTGACGCTGGTCCGCTGTGCTGACGCTGTGGTCTGCAGTGTGCTGCTGCTTGTGCCCACCATGCTGTGTGCTGCGCTGTGTACCGCTGTGCTGACTGACGCTAACTCTGTGCCACAGGAGGTGCCCCAGCTCCGCTGGTCGACGACGACAGTTACCTGCTGATGTCGCCCGGACCCGACTCCTCCCCGGACGGAGGCGTCTTCTCGCCGCGGCCTCGTGGCGGCGCGGGACACTTCGAGTTCCCGCCACCGCCGCAGCTGGCGCGCGAGTCGCCGCCGAACGGCTTCTATAACCCGTCCTACCACGAAGCCGGCAAGGGTCGCGTGCCATCCACGCCAAAAATGGGCACCAAAGTGTCTCGCCCCGCGAGACCGGCCGTTGCTGAAGCTTCGGAAGAGCACAGAGATCAGCGAGAGGACACGCCGGTGGCGAGCTCTCCTGCGCCGGATGAAGACGATACTTCCCGTCTGCCGTCGGGGGTCGAGGCTGACACTCACTACCGAGTACCGGTCCCGGTCGGATGCGAACAATTGGTGTAAGAGAGCAGTGAAAGCCCTCGTGTTTGAGTGCCGAATGCATCAGGGGACAGCTCGGAGGCTGGGCGGCGCTTGCAGGGGCTTTGAGCTGGCTTCAGTGCTGTTCTGCGGCAGACATATCGTGTCGCTGTACCCGGAGAAGTCGCATCCAGGGTTCGTGCTCCTGTCCTGGCCGCCAAACTCCGTGCCGAGCGCGACAGGCGGCAAACGAGTTAGTTGTCGCGGAGGCCAGTAGATAGCGCTGTTGTCGCGGTGTTAAAGATACGCTTGTGCCTGCGTTCTGAGTGGCTGCCAGTGCATAAAGGTTTTGTGATCTTCAGCGCTCCAAAGTGGTTCCTGGTGATCTTCAGCTCTCCAGTGCGGTTCCTGGTGATCCTCAACGGCTCCTGGGGATCTCCTAAGGTCTTTGGTGTTCCTCGATGAACTTGGGGGCATCTGATGGTCCTCGTTGGTCTCCGGTGCTAATCAGAGGTCTCTGGGGTTTGATGATCCCCGAAGTTCTCTGGTCTATGGTGGGCCGTTCGATCCAGTGCAGTGCAGTGTTAGAGAAGTTTTTACGCTCCTCGTGCCATCATGTCCTCATTTATTACCTAGTCGACGTCCGAGCATTGGGTTTCAACCTTTGTGTTAAGATTTGGGACTGGTATTAGTGTTCACACTTCGCAGATTGAGCAAGTATCTCGATCATTCGCGATGGAAGTGCCAGGATGGAATGAGTGAAGTGCATTCGTTCGTGTTGCCTTTTTACCAGTGTTTTGCGTTGTTCTGCTTGTACGCGATTAGCCGGCTAACCTAAGCTAAGATCGAGTTTTTCGCTTCAATTGAGATTCAGCGATTCTTAAACGTATTTATGCCTCCATAAAACTCGTCTCAGTCAGGTCGTTTTTACATGGGACAAACGGAACTCACAGATCAACTATAGCGCCTCTTATTTGTTTTGCTGCGATGGTTAGCATGTCTTTTATTGGCAGTACCGGCGTGTAGCCATTTCGAGCTTTTCCTCGTGCCAGTCTCATCTCTTTGCCTGGCACAAAAGGGGTAGCGGACGGCTTTTTTTAGATATATACTTGTCGTTCATCACGGTAACACAGTCAGTCTCCGGGGCCAAATGTTATCACGCTTCGCCTGTGTTCGTTTCGCAAGTGATATGATGCAAATGGTATATGAAATGAAAGTACAATGATCTACTATTATAAATCTTAAAAAGTCCGCCGCCGCCCACGCCGCCGCCGTCGGGGTTACTCCCAAAAACGCTTATTGCGGCGCTGTCGATGGACGCAGGAGGGTGAAATTTTTGACGACTCGTGGGTCACGTAATAAAACAGGTCGTATTAAATCTTGGGCACGATGCGGCCGGAGGTGCGCCCGTGGCGCGTGCTCATGTGCGCCATAGGGTTAGCATTGAAGCGACCGGCGCCGAGCAGAGGGCACGTGCTTTAGGCTCAGTTGTTCGCTTAAAAAACTGAGTGGAAATAATCAGAGCCGGCAGGTCATTGACCTTTGACAACAAAGGCCGACACAAGGTACCGCTCGCCAAGGGGATTCGCCAGTAAATACAATTAATTTGTTTTTGCAATATCTAACTTACTATTCCAACAGAATCCGTCTGTGAGTCTGTGAGTCTGTGTGTCCGCACATCGTGTAGTGGGTTCAATTAACCTCGCCTACAAGGCAGACGGTATGTCGTAGGAAGTTGAAAGTTGCACACCTTATAGGTGACAGAGCGGGTCAGCGCCTTTTCTAGGTTTCGGCTCGCTGGGGTGCACGGTTCGCGCGTGGGGCGCGCTGGAAGAACGCCAATGAAATTTTGATCGGTTCGTAGATCTTCATTGAGAGCCGGGGTCGACAAACTTTGTGGACTAAATGCATGCCGATCGGTGGCGGGTGCCTCGCATTGGCGGATGGGCAAGTTTTTAATTTGAATGAAAAGTGGCGAGATAATGTATAGATTATAAAAATGCACCGTGAAAGGTGACCAAGTATAAAAATGCACCGTGTTTGCCGCAATGCGTCACATTGGTGACAAGGCGTCATTTTTGCCGCAAATCGCACAGTTTTGTCAAATATGGTCCGATAAGGGTACAATTTGTTGCCAGGATACATGCTCAGCCAACAGGTTCAGATGCGCCGCGTTTGTCGCAATGCGCCACATATGCCACAAAGCGCCATTTCCGACAAATACGATTAAGCGTAATGGAATGGCACGAATAGGGGCAGGGCTGGGAACACTTTAAGTCTGATATTTAAGTACTGATTGGATCCAATTATTCTGTGACCTGACATGACCCGGCGGTGTTGGTAGGGGGGTAGGGGTAGGGGTAGGGGTAGGGGTAGGGGTAGTGGTAGGGGTAGGGGTAGGGGTAGTAGTAGGGGTAGTAGTAGGGGTAGTGGTAGGGGTAGTGGTAGTGGTAGTGGTAGATGTAGTGGTAGGGGTAGGGGTAGGGGTAGTAGTAGGGGTAGTGGTAGGGGTAGTGGTAGGGGTAGTGGTAGAGGTAGGAGTAGTGGTAGGGGTAGGGGTAGGGGTAGTGGTGGAGGCAAAAGTAGAACAGTGGCCCGGGCTGATCCGATCGGACGAGAGGCGACCTATGTGACCTGGCCTGACCTAAAGTGACCGGGGCTGACCCCTTTGGCCCATCTTGACCCCGTATCAGCGAAATTTCATCCAACAAAGCCCCCAGAACAGCTCTTTTTTCTCTTCACATTTCCGTCCATATCTACAGGGTGTCCGGAAAGTCCTGGCGCTTTTCAACATTGTTAAGATAAATGCCTTTGGTCCATAGATACTCAACAATAGAACGAAACAATGACCAGGAACACCAAGCCACATCCTTCTGCTAAGTGCCCATTCATTGTAACCACCGTCTGTGCCGACGACGGCCTCGACGCAAGGGCGGAAACGCCTGCGGGTTTTGACGGTGCAGGACATTTCCTGTCCTCCCATGCTGTCATGATGCGAGTGTTCAGGGACTCCAGGCTGGGATGAGAGGTGGCCTAGAGCTTATTCTGCAAAACGCGTAGCATGCCTTAGTCGAGCGGGTTAAGGCTGGGATAATAAGGTGGCCTAATCTCATTTCACCACGGTGATCTGGTCCGCCGAGCTCCTCTGTCAGTTTGGTTTGGACGGCAGCGGCGTTGTTGGGGGGCGCTCCGTGCTGTTGAAGTGCGACATGACCCTTAGGGCAAGTCGCCTTGATTGTCGTGTCCAGGAACCCCTCGTGGACCAGCCTATCAGTCATTTATTTGACCTTGACGAAGATGATGGGACATTTGTGTCCATCAGACCCAAGATTTTCTTCGATTGCCGCTGAAATGCTGGTTCAGTCTCAGCAGCTTTGGCATACCGTGGTTGTAGCTGAGTGAGAATATTTTCTAAGACATTTCCGATCTGGAGTGCACCTTTGCCTGCTCAACCGTTCGCCGGGAAACGCCGCATCGCGTTGCAACTCGCGCCTCGTTCAAGCCGCACCGGGCCCCCGCGCGCGGGCTCTCAGCGACAAGGCGCATCTTCGCCCATATACCTAGCACTGAAAACGGTTTCAAGGTCATATTTACGCGACCCCTAGCTGAGCGGTGAACGAGGGGTCATATCTGCGGTGATTGGTTGAAAGTCCAATAATCACAGCGCGCGTTAGACGACGTCCAAAAGAGGCGCCAGAACTTTCCGGACACCCTGTATGCTTCTAGCCAACATATCGATTTGAAACGAACACCATTCGAAAGCAAATTGGCTGGTGCCGCAATTTTCTCCTACCACGCAGCAAAGCAAGTGGCGCAGCCGCTTGTCTATATTACTATTTGAGGTGACGTAGTTTCTGTCTGTAACCGAGGTCGCGACATGGTGCTACGTAGCGCGGGTTACAGATCACACCGTTGCACCTACCGCGCTGAAGTTTGCGCAAGTTATAGAACAAGGATGGACAACGTGCCTTTGAGCGGTCTCGGCTCGATCGGATCGATAGCGAGCGCGTGGCGCGTGCCCAAAAAGTGCAAATTCGCGTCATAGACTTTACATGTATAAATCGGCCTGCAAAATCGGGCGAAAATGGCCAAATTTGGCCGACACGGGTCCGGTTCCCGTGCAATATCTCGGTAACCGTGCGCCCGATCGTCACGGGGAAAACAGCATCGTGTAGAGAATCGAACGGGCTATCGAATGGTGTGCAGTGCAGGGGTTGGCACGCGCCACGTGCACCGGGGAGGACACTTCCTTTTGAAAAATGGACGTTTTGGACGGATTTTGGAATTTATATTAATTTCAGGTGATCGTCAGACGGAATGAGTTGAAACAGCGCCTATTAGCAATAAAAATGTACCGTCTCTCATGGAAAAATTGTGAAAAGCTAATTGATCAAAAATAATGTGGAAAAAATCGCTGAATTAAATGGTGTTTGTCCAAAATGTGCCACTAAAAAGTTACACGGGATTTGCTGCTTAACCTGATACGCTTGACAATTGAAAATGCTATCATTAGAAAGAGCATTCAATTCTCTCCAAGATCCAATCATCACGTTTGCATGACAAGCAACAGTATTCTTAAAAATATAAATGTTTCAAACCTCTGCAAAACGATTTTTAGCGAAAATTATCTACGCCTTTCATTTGTCTTAAAACTACGCGCCTAAATTATAAAGCACATTTGACAGATTCTGAAGTGGAAAGCATGCTTATCAGACACGGGCACCTCGATGCGGTGGATATTTTTTCCAAACCAAAACGTTTAGCCGTCAAAAAGCAATCGACCGAAATGGATAGCTAACCCAACCGACGCAAGAAAACCAAACACCCGCCGATCGTAAATGCCCCTTTTTGCGTTGCGGAGCACGCGGGCCACCCTAGTCTCAGCCGTTTCTGGGCCGATTTAGCTGAAACTTGGACTGTCCTTGGTAGTGTAGGGTAGGGTAGGGTAGGGTAGGGTAGGGGTAGGGGTAGGGTAGGGTAGTGTAGGGGTAGGGTAGGGTAGGGTAGGGTAGTCTAGGGTAGGGTAGGGTAGGGGTAGGGTAGGGTAGGGCAGTGTACACTGAGAAAAAAATTGACTCCATATGGGTCAAAACTCTTGAAAATGCTCCCCTGAAAACTCCTGAAAACCATCGATAACACCCTTTCCAGCAGAGTTATTGAGTGTGTTCTAGGGTAACTTTGAGCCTTCCTCATTTTGCGAAAGAGTTTTCAAGAGTTCTCAATGGATGGCGAAATGATTCCATGTGTGACACCCCATAACTCTGTGACGCAACTCTCCATTACTCCCGAAAAACCTTTCCCGAACGTTCCGACAGGAGTAAAAGGGGAGTTACGAAGGGGTTTTAGCATACGTCGCGAGGCTGCCGTGGCCGCCATCTTTTGCCCGTAGTATACAGCACGTTGTGCCGGGCGGCGGGCGAGGTGTAAGTGAAGAGCGTGTTGACTTAGACGGACCTGACCTATACAGTGACGGATAATTGGACCTTACTTCGGATTTAAAGGTAAGCTTAGCTGTATTTCTCATCATGCTTTTATAGTGCAAAGTGTTATAATGCTGTGATGAGAACATATGGTAACCCCATGTTCTTGATGGGCTGGAATGGTCTGTGTAAAGGTAATCGATTTGTTTCGTTCCTGAGTGAGATAAAAATCGGAAACAGCATGCTCTGAGTTTCTACATATTGGCAAATATCATACATTTTTTCCCTCGAATAAATTGGAAAGTTAGGGTTATACAAGCTTTACACGTCATGGATCCTATTGTTATTGCCCAATTGTTTTAATACCCATGTCAATGACAAATATCAAATTTGAAGGGCTTTCAAAGCAGAGTCAGAAAATTAAACTATCTTGGCATAAAAGCCTTGATTTTCCTAGCCCCTATATATAAAAAATCAGTTACCTACCACTGCCACTGCCCAATGGGGAAAACCACCGACAAACCAGCATGTTTAAATAAATTTTGTCTAAATTGTTGTATTTTTTAAAAAGTATCCATAAATGAAGTTCGTTCTTTAATGTTAACATGGGTACGTATGCAGCGTGTAACGTCCTTAGCTTATTTTTAGCGACCTGCTCAACTTCTTGAGCGCTCAAGTACGTTTTATAGCATTTCCCTAATGTGTCTGCAACTAAGATGGAGGCTGTTAACTTGCCCTTTAGACTTTCACTGAAACTTAACTTTATCAAAATTGTAGTGCATAAAAAGTATGCTAACTTTGCAATC